ACAGACTATGTCAAAGATATAAGATAAATCCCAACAAATATTAGGCACTCTAAAGCATAAAGGCCTTATTCTCTATCAAAATGCAATTAAGAATAAAAATAATTTTTAAAAACAAGGGGAAAATCAAGACATTCCCAAACAGAAGCTCTGGGAATTTGCACCCATAAAACCAGCTCTGTAAGAATTACTCAAGGGAGTACTCCAAATGGAAAGGTAAGACCATTAAATAAACACTTGTATCTATACATGAGACTAAAACAGCAACATGAGCTTATGTGTATGTGAAAGGTGGACGACGAATATGGAAGATCGTAAAAAAATTGATGCCTCTGAATTATAGTGTTATTGATGCTTCTAAATTATATTATTATTCTTCTGGACTGCCAGAACAATGAATAAATTTGCCTTGGAAGAAGTAAAACTGGTAGCAAGGATGGTGAGAGTTCATCTCACATACTTTGGATGGTATCAGGCGGGACTAGACCCAGGAGAAGGACACCATGCTTGGTAAAGTAGAGGGTCAGCAAAAAAGAGGAAGATCCTCAATGTAATGGACCAACACAGCGGCTGCAACAAACACAGCAACAATTTCAGGATAGCACAGGACCTGGCAGTGTTTCACTCCGTTGTACATAGGGTAGCTATGAATTAGAACCAACTTTATGATACATGACAACAGTAATATTTATTTATTTTCACATTGCTTATTAGTTATTTATCTTACTCACTGACACTATCTCCCCAGAAGTCTACTGCACACATTCTTTAGTTTCATGTATTACTGGTTCTTTTACCAACTCATCCCTTCCTTTTGCTTTCACATGAAATGACATTTATAAATATACATTTTGTGACAGTTTGTAACTATTCTATTACACATCATTAGGTAAGAAGTTATTGTAACGTTATGTTAAAAATAAACCCAGCTCATCTATAAGAATATCTCTTTTTCTCAGTTTGTTTTTGTTGTTATGTGCTGTCGAGTCGGACCCGAGTCATAGCAACCCCTCTTTGGGTTCCCGAGGCAGTATCACTACAGAAGTAGATCACCCCATCTTCCTTCCGAGGAGTGGCTGGTGGGTTTGAACTGCCAGCCTTCTAGTTAGCAGTCAAGTGCCTAAGGCACTATGCTACTAGAGCTCCCTTTCTCAGTTCAGCAGTGTGAAAGTAAAGTTATTACCCTCTCTTTCATCTTATTTCAGTAAATCTCGTATTTTTTATTATTTATCCTAACACTCCTTTTTTTTATCTAATGCCAACCCATACTCCTGTATTTTCATTTATTTGTACTTCTTATACAGAATGTGTTTTAATCTTTTTTCTCTTAAGTCCAAGCTTATTATAATAGATACAAACATCTGAATACCACATCATATGTTTTAATGTAATGATGCCTGTAAGCTTGTTGCTTACAAAAAACAATACTTACATAAATTATATTTCAATAAACTGTATTTAAAGAAAAAAATACTGTTGCTATTGTTATTAGTTGCCTTCTAGTCAACTTCTCTTTCATAGTTAAGGCATTGTTCATGTTTGTTATTACATGTATATAATGAATATAGGTAGGCTATATATATTATTTATTAACTTCATTTCAAAATAGTTAATTACAAGATACAGAAAGGGATGCTGAGTCTTTTAGAGTTTGAGAGCCACTGCTTCAAATGGAGCAAAGATTTCAGCAAAGAGACAGTCTCCTTTCAAAAAAACCAAGAACAGCCAGAGTGAAACTTCTAAGGAAGAAGTTTTCCACAAGAGGCAAGGATAATGTCACACTTTAGGAAGAGCAAGAATGATACCAAGATGCAGGAGAGGAGCAATAAGCACTGACAGAGGCACTCACAGAAAATGTCTAGGTAAACAGCCGGTAACACTGAAGAGGAAAGCCAGAGATATTTACTAATGACCACACAGGACTTTAAAAGTGGCTGCCTGGCTACCACTGTCAATCACTCGGAGGGGTATCCATGTAGGAGATCCTGTATAGAGTGGGAGAACAATGTGGAACAAAACTCAAAATCATAATTTAAAAAAAAAAAGTACCAGGTTTGCTGGTCTGATAGAGCCTGATGAAACCCCTTGACGCTATGGTCCCTAACTGCCCTTCAGGTCTGGAATTGAACTCACTCCTATGGTTCCCAGCCAAATAAAAGACAGGTAGATTTGTATCAGGGAGATACACTCCTTAGAGAGATCAATTATGGGAGAACAAAAGCGCAGTGTACAGCATAGGGAGACAGCCTGGGGGACAGGAGTGCATGGGAGGGAAGGATACAGGGAAGAGGTAACTACGGAGAGGAAGTGGGAAGAGAGCTGTTACACTGTGGGGAATTGCAGTCAATGACACGAGACAAAATGTGTATGAACTGCTGTATGGAAAATGAATTTGCTCTGTCAACTTTCACCCAAATCACAACAAAATTGAAAAAAAAAAAAAAAGAAGTGGCTGCCCCTACAAAGGTAAACCTGCCAGGTAGGAAGCACGATGCTTAGTTATGAAGTGGCAAATAACAGACTTACTGAGGAACAAGGAATAACTGCAGAAACTCATCCCTCCTCCATTATTTACCAAAGACATTCAGCACCAGCAAACAAATCAGCCAAGGAAATTTCAGAAAGATAACCAATTATGAACACAGTTCAAAGGTCCCTGAAATCTACCAAGCGGTAATCCCAGTAAAAAATTCAATGGGCTTTATTTCAAGACAGCTCAGTCAATCCAGCCCATGCCATGCTCTCCCAATAAATCCAAAAATCTTTACAATGAGCTTTCATATCATGTTTTGGGATTCTTTAATAACTACTTATAAAAGTACATTCATACATGATACCGGTTATTTTCATGATCAGCTTTGCTATTTTTATGGTTGAAATGGCTTTCCTTGTTTCAACATATGAGATCTATAGGAAATACATGACTTCAACTATCCTACATGTGACCACTGTCCAAAAACTAACCAGGGCCTAACTTCATGGGTACCTAGGATTGTATCTTTTATCCTTTCCATTGTATCATTTCACTCTTCACCATTTATCTAAACCCAAAACCAAACAAACTGCCATTGAGTCAATTCCAACTCACAGTGACCCCCAATGGGTTTCTCTGACAGCAAATATTTACGGAAGTAGATTACCTTGTCTTCCTTCTGTGAAGTGGCTAGTGGGTTTGAACCACCAACCTCCTGGTTAGCCGTTAAATACTTTAGGCACTGCACCATCAGAGCTCCTTCACTATTTATCTAAAATCTGAAAATCTTTTAAAGCTTGCCATCTGTAATCATTTTCAAAAAAATTCTATGGTAAGGGTATACAGCACAGACTGCTTACTTAGGTACAGCCTAAGAAATAATCACGGATTAGCTGACCTGAGGAGAATCCTATAAGAAACAATGCAAACATGCCTAAGATTGAGAGGGTATTAAAAAGACAAACCACAGAAATCTTTCAAGTTATAAAATATGAAAAAGAATATAGCTGTATAAAATAGTATTCTTTAAAAAATGAGTACATACATGTGACAAAAGATTTTAGATGAGAAGAAATAGCTAATAAAAACTGAAAGAATAACTAAGTAAACCCTCAATCACAAATAATCAAGTCAAACATAAAAAGGTGTAAGAAAATTAAGAGCTAAATCACAACCGGACAAGAACCCCTGTTAGGAGAGGGAAACAATAAAATTGTTTGCTGCCAGGTCTAAATTCACTATGAACCAAAGGGCAGCTATTTATACCATACTCCACAAAAATCAAAATGCAATAGAAAGTATATAAAAATTGGAGGTCTTGAAGAGTCAAGATGTATGTATAAAAAGCCAGTAATTAGCAAGAGATTCATAGTCTACACATCACTAAGAAAGTAAACTAAGGACTGTACATTTGAATAGTATGTGTCTAAGCGGAATCCTTAAGACTAATGCTTCTATAACTAGGAAGTAAGTGCCCTCTGCAACATAGGTGTCCTCTGGGAAATGCACCTACATATTCATTTTACATTAAGCATTAAAACATATGTGTGACACGCCCTGGAGAGAACAATCATGCAAGAAGGAAGGGCTGCTTATGCACAGGGAGACAGCTCAGGGCGCAGAAGAGTATGGAGGGATGGACACTGGGAAGAGCTAACTATGGGGAGGAAGTGGGAGGGGAGCTGTTGCATTGTAAATTTTGGTCAATGACATGAGACAAAGTACATTATGCGAACTGCTGTATGAAAAGTGAATTTACTCTGTAAATCTTCACCCAAATCAAAATAAAATTAAAAAAAAAAATTAATAAAAATAAAATAAATAAATAAAATAAATTGGGGGGGGAACATATGTGTGAAAAATGCCAAATGTGTATTACTTTTTTTTTTCTTTATTGTGCTCTGGGTGCAAATTTACAGAGCAGAATTTGTTTTACGTTCAACAGTTCATGTACATTTGATTTCACGTCCTGATTATCATCCCCAACCCTAACCCACCTCTTCTGCCCTCCCTTTCCTATGACAACCCCCACTAAATGTGTATTACTTTTAATGAACTCTGATGGCGTAGTGCCTACGGCATTTGACTTCTAACCAGAAGGCTGGTGGTTCAAACTACCAGCCACTCTTCGGAAGGAAGACTGAGCAAACTACTTCTGTAGTAATACCGCCTCAGAAACGCAAGGAAGGGTCACTACAAGTTGGATCTGACTTGATGGCAGTGAGTTTGTTTTTTTTTTTTTTTTCTTCTTTTTTAATGACAAAATATAAATCTCAAACAAAAATTTCTTGGCCATTATCGTGATGTTATTAGTTGCCAGATATATCCTAGTGGGAAAACTGTAAGAAGTCCAGCTTCTGATATAGGTTACAGAGGGCAACAAATTATTTTAGGAGTAGAGTTACACAGAAATGGAAGTATTAAAAATGTTAATTTGTTTATTTCAAATGGCACAATATTTATCAATCATGATCAATCTTCTAAAAGCCCCCAGTGCCCCTGAAGAAATACTTTAAATGGAAATACTTACTTAGGAAACCAATTTAATCCCAGGTGCTCTGTTTTAGAATATAGTATTCTTTCCACCATGTCATAAAGTGGTCTCCAAGGTAATTCCAAATCATCTCTTGAAAGAAGTTCCTTTTTCCTAATTAAAAATAAATGAATAAATAAATACGTGTTGTGTGTGTGTTACATATACATGCTACACAAAAAGGACAGTTCTGAAATTAGCCAACATATAGTTCTATGAGAAGCCTTCATGGAAAGATGTAATTTTAAATAAAAGGTTAACATATATCATTAATCCTATGATAATGTTTTCTGTGATCTTTTTATGTAACTGGAAATTTGGGACTTGGTCTTCTTACTGAAGAACACTTAGTCTTCATTCCATAAATCTCAAAAAAAAAAAAAAAAAAAAAAACACCTAGCAGAAATCATACAAAACTGACTTACTTTAACAAGTTGATCAAGAGACGGGCAAATCCCTGCATCATGCTGATTTCTAGTTTTGGAATTGATACTAGCTCATACAATAGCTTGATAAAAAGAACATGATCTTCTTTGCTAAATTTTCTCCCATAAAGACGAATATACCTATAAGACAAAAATAAATATATCTGCCTTTAAAACATGTAGGCTGCAGGCTTAACCTCAAATACTTTTGGTCAAACGTTTTATATTCATTCTCATTTTAATGTAGCAAAGAATTCATCTATACACCATGAAATCATCAAATAAATATTTTTACAACAAAAGTAATGAAATATATAATGAAAGTAAGTTCTCATCAACATTTATTAACCATTTATTATTGTATACTCTTAACTGGCCTTTGGTCATGAGTGCTCCATTCCTTTATTAAGAAAATGCTCACCCAAATAAATGATCTACTCCAACGATTTTGAAACAGCTTATCACAATGTAATTAAAAGCAAACAGAATAAGAGAGCAGAGATATAAAAGCTTATTGCATTAGTTACAAAGACTTAAGAATACATATAGCTTACTTAGAATCCCAAGAGTTAATTATTTATAATAAAATTAAGTTACTTCCAAAAAAGAACATTTTATCTTCAATTATACATTTTCAATTTTTGTTTAAAATTAGAGAAAAAGTATTCAAAGTATCAATTAAAACAAATTTAAGTAAAAGATATCCCAAAAAGAATGTAATTAGCATATTTAAGGATTCAGACTTACAACTTACAAATGTTATTTAGAATAAGTATTGGACATTTAAATTCAAACTCTTCTTAGAATCATTTTATATACAAATACATAAATTAACAGAAAAAGAGAGCATTAATATTACTTAGATGATCTTTAGCAATCTCTCCTCCCCGAAGAGCTGAGATTAAATTAAATTCCTGCTTATCTTCTAAAGTTAGGGCATTTAACTCCTTTTTTTATTTTCTAGAACATCCTCAAAATTCCTGGTCTACTGAGAGTACTTTTTTATTTTTACAAGTTGTTCTGTATTCAGTTCTTCTATGTCCTTTGGAGGTATTTAGGCAATAGGAAGCAAAGATGAATGACTTCACCTTACTTACTACTGAGGCCAGACAGCAGTGAGATGTGAGGAAGAAGGCAGTGCAAAGAGACCCGAGATTGCTTTGACTCTTCCAGAAATTACTCTGAAACTTTCTTAACCATTCTGAACCGGTAAAACAAATGGTAAAGCTGAGTCGGGGCCGACTCGACGGCATATAACAACAACAACAACAGTAGAAGGAGCTGAATGAAAACAGTGAATAAGGCAACACACTGAGCTGTGGACTTTTGGCTATCTTGAGGGCGCAGCCAATTTGAATATTTTGCACGTGTTGCAGCCATTTTTATTAAGACTAAAAACTCACTGCCTTCGAGTCAGATCTGACTCACAGTGACCCCTCCCTTGGGTTTCTGAGGTGGTATCACTACAGAAGTAGATTGCCCAACATTCCTTCTGAGGAGTGGCTGGTGGGTTTGGACCGCCAGCCTCCTGGTTAGCAGTCAAGTGCCTTAGGCACTATGCCACAAGAGCTCAGCAGCATTTGGATACTAGTGACCTAAGAATAGGCTCTGCTTGCCAAGAACAGCATAGGTAACCACACTGGAGGCTGATGACTGGAAAGGTGCAATATTCTCCTTGTAACTCTTATACCCCAACACCCTCTTGGTGAACGGAGGTGTGGCCATTCCCCACCTCCTTCTACCTTCTGGACTGGCAGGAATTCTATCTCAGTTTCTGTGTGCTGATGGAGCCTGGGTGCCCTGCCCCATCCTCCCAGTTTTGTTTCTAAATTATCCTTTTTTCCTTCCTTTTCATTATTATTTTTCTTTCTTTCTTTTTCCCTCCTAGGTTCTAGTTTTAGTCCCCCTCCCCTCTTCCCTTTTCCTGGTTTCCATCCTTTTTGTTTATTTTTGTTCTTCCCTTCCCATGTTTTTCTTTTTGCAGTTTTTTCATGTTTTCTTTATTATTCTTTTACTCTTGCTCTTTTATTCTTCCCTCCCCTGATATTGTGGGAGTTCTTTTTCCTTTTTCTACTTATATTTCTTTTGTCTTTTTAAAGTATTTCTTTAAATATTTCTTTTTTTTTTTTCCTGTTTGTTGATGTAGTTAGTGTTTTTTGTCCTCTTATTTTTATTTATGTTTTTATTTTATCTAACTGAGTGGGAGACAGCAACCATGCCCATACGACCCAATCATACCTGCATCTCCTCCTACTGAGTGAGGGCCACCGCTAGCTTCTGCATCAACTGGCCAATGACAGATGATAGCCAATACCACCCCGACTCACCTTTAAGTGCTCTTCACCCACAGGTAACAGAGACCTGTGCACACACTCACATTCTCTATTACACCCACACCAAGACACAATTAGTGAATGCCTAAGTGCCGCCAACTAGACAATAGAGGAGCACAGTACCTTGTTTACACATATATATCAAAACAAAACAAAGAAAAAAATAATATCTTATTGGATACATTGCAGAACAAGTCTACTGAGTTCATAATGATACTAAAAAACACAAAGTCAAAACAAAACAAAATTCAAACATCACCTTTCTGAAGGATGCCAGAATACCAGGTCATTTTAAGAGAGAAAAACAATCAAGTGTTTATCCTGACACTCCTATAAGAACTGTATCTTAGGATAAACACCCATGATGAAAGTTCCTACATAAAAACTGCAGCTAATAAACTAAGAATGAAAGGTTTACAATTTTGCAACCTCTGCTGGATACAGGAAGTTATTATTAATAGAGACCAGCCCCCAAAGAAAGATAGCATGTTTGGTAGAGGGTCAGCAAAAAAGAGGAAAATCTTTAGTGGGATGGATTGGCTGCCAACAATGGGCTCAAATAACAAAGACTATGGGGATGGCACAGGACTGGGCAGTATTTCCTTCTATTGTACCACAGGGTCACTATCTACTGGAAGCAACTTGATGGCATCTACCAACCACCACCACCTACCAACCACCACCATCACCAGTATCCCAAAAAACGAGAACTAGATATTATATACCTCCTGGTAGAAATATACAATACCACCTATTATGTAGTCCTGCCAAAAAAAAAAAATTGGAAGTGAAACTTTATGTGCTGAGTAACACAGCAACAAATCTATAAAGTGAAAAACAACAACAAAAAATACTACAAGAAAAGAAGTAGAGTAGCGACTGGGATCTTCAAAGCTCACAAGCAGCCATCTAAAAGCAAAGATGGGTCTCTCCTCATTCAGAGCAAAGAAGAATGAAGGAACCCAAAAATGCATGGAAACCTTTAGTCTAAAGGACTGGTACACTATGTGATCCTCATCCTATATGACTATGAGACCAGAAGAACTAGATGGTGCCCAGCTACCACTGTCAACCACTCAGAGGGGCGTCTATGTAGGACATTCTACATACAGTAGGAGAACAATGCAAGTCAAAACTCTAAATCGTAAGAAACACCGGAGCAGTTTGCTGGTTTGATAGAGACCGGTTGGACCCGAGACCTCCCTAGCTGCTCTTCTGGAATTGAACCCACTCCTGTGGCTTCCAGCCTAACAAAAGACAGGCATATGAGCTGAACATTTACATTAGGTACATACACTCCTTGGAGAGATCAATCATAGGAGAATAGAAGGGCTCTGTATGCATAGGTAGACAGCTCAGGGGGCAGGAGTGCATGGGAGGGAAGGACACAGGGAAGAGGTAACTATGGGGAGGACATGGAAAGAGGTGTTGCACTGTGGGAAACTGCAGTCAATGTCATGAGACAGAGTGTATATGAACTGCTGTATGGAAAATGAATGTGCTCTGTAAGCTTTCAGCCAAATAACAAGCATTACAGCAAGAGAAACTGCTATGACCAATGGATTCCCTAAACAACCCAAAACATTAATTTTAGTCTGTAACTTCAACTCTCCCCACCAAAATGCACTCATTAGTGTAACAGTATCAGTTCCAGTCTTTTCCTTCTCTTCCTAAGATGTTGTCAAATAGGAAACAAAAAAAAGGGAAACAATGAAAAGGCAAAATTAAGCAAAGAAAACTGAAGGTTCAGGAATAAATTACTTTTGATTGCATTCCAAGACTAAGTCCCTTGTCATTATGATATTAGAAACACAGATAAACCTTCACTGCTGGAAAGTGAAAAAAAATAACAAAATTGAATGGATTTCTCATAAACTATCTTTCTTTCTTTTTATTCAATTACCTGTCCATTCAAAAAGCATTCAAAGAGCAAGTGATATGTATAGGACATACACTAATTTGTGAGGCACAAGAATATATGACTCAAATACTCCCCATGGGCAAGGAACTCAAAATCAGTTGTAAGAAGACAGGCACGTGGAAAACCAATATAAAGAAATGGGATAAATGGAAAAGGGCAGAGTAAGAAGACAAGCTACACAGATCCTCTGAAACAAAGAAACAAGAAAATAATAGACACAGATACAGAAGATAATCCTGGATCCCAATTCCTCTTGAAGGGAAGGATAAAGAAGTGGAATGAATACCAACTAGTAAAAGAACTCTAGTGGCGTAGTACTTAAGGCATTTGCCTGTTAACCAGAACACTGGCATTTCAAACCCACAGCCACTCCTCAGAAGACTGGGCAATCTACTTCCATAAAGATTTACCACCTCAGAAACCCAAAGGGGGTCAACCATAAGTCAGAATCAAATTGATGACAGTGAGTTTGTGTTTGTTTGTTTTAGAACAACCTGAACAAAAACATAGAGCAAGGAAACAAACGGAGCTGTGGACTGCTGGCTGTCCCATGGCCATTTTGAATATTTGCAAGTGGCATTCCAATTCAGGCAGCAATTTAAGAATCAGCTCAGCTTGCAGAAGTCTACATGGGCAACCACACGGGTGGTTGAGAACTAGAGAAGTGCAATATTACACTTTTCCCTTTGTACCCACACTCTCAGTGAAAGGAGGTATAGTCACCCCCCACCCTCACTTACTTTCTGAACCAACAGCAATTCCATCCTGGTCTAGGCACCCTGCAATCAGCTGCCTTCTGGGCAGGCAGGAACTGGTCCAAGGACTAGGTGCTCTGTTCCCAGCCACCTCTGCCATCAGAAGGACCTTCTTCTGAGACCAGGTGCCTG